TCTCCGGTTGCTGGCTGACTTCTCACCACATTTCTCTGCACATTTTCGTGGAAGAAACCCTCAACTAAACATGTTAAAACATGAGTGTTCAGTAAAGATGGATGTCTTCTGGCATGTTGCGCTGTGTTGTCTGGTAGACGTTTGCCGACGTGTCAGAGGTCATACTGCTTCCTTCATCACAATCCAAGTCCCGAAACAGCGTTTGATACCGTTGTTAAACGTGTTTTATTTAGTTATAAAAGCTTGCTTATGTGCTTAAGATGTTTATAATTTTCACATTTTCACATCACAGTTAGAAAAAAGTTGTAACTTATCTTTCAAAATTACAATTTACACAGAGAGAGAGAGAGAGAGAGAGAGATCTTCATCATCTATAATTTTATTAAACGTGTTTTTTTTCATATGCCTGCATTCTTATGGGGCAGCAATTTAAGTGAATATACATATTTATGGTCCTGTATAATTTCGTAAATCAGTTTCGTGAGGTAGAATGTTATGGTGTGTGTCTGACAAGTTCGAATGTGCCGCGGATGAATCGTTACGGTACACTGATCCAGAGGAAAGGAAATTAAGTAGATCTGTATGATATAGCTAGCCTGTTGGTCAGTAATCGAAACCTGCATATAATAAATTCTAGGCTATAATATTATGTGGAGTGCACAAGTTACGAATCTGTTCATCATGCAGGTTAGTTACTCCAATCTGCCAGACACGGAACTGTAAGCCACGAGGTCCCACCCAAAATAGTGGGGCTGTAACACAGTTTACAACGCAGAGTGTCTTTTCGTATTTACGTTTTTTAAACAAAATTGCAGAAAACATTTGTGCTGCAATTGTAATCCGCTCAGTCACGCTGAAATTCCGCTTTATTACATTCGGAATGAAATCTTTATATGATTTGACTGTCAGTAGCCATAATATAAATGCCATTATTTTTGTTTCTCCGGAAAAGCAACCAATTTTTCTCTAACAACAAAATATGTACATTAATGTTCAGTTTAAAAACTGATTTTGTTTCCACTGATTTCTAAATCACTAAATGTAAGTTATGTACAGTATGTGAGAAAAGAAATGTTATCATCACAGTGCACTTGTTGAAGGAAAAAAAGTGTAGGTGTTTTGAAGTTATGTTCGATACGTTGTAATCATTTTAAGGATTTTGTTTTTACGTTGAATAAAAAGTGACGATAGATACTGCGTACCCTGTGTGCCGCCTATGTTTTAATACGCGTTGATCATTTTAACAAAATAATTTCGAGTGTCTCTGAATTCTTTAACAATAACGTTCAGAATCTACTCACGTATGAACCTGTTTTTTTTATTCGTCGATTGCTTATCATTATAGCGTTTCTATCCTGCTATTATTTCAGAGCAAGATACATGTATAAACACCACACATTGATCACCCCTGACGTTACAAGAATGACTCATTATACCTGTTCATATTTGTACGTTTTGAGTTTTCACGGCGGTGAGTCTGAAAATGGCTGTCTCCTGTTCATATTTCGTCACGAAACTTCAAATGCGTGATAATTTCGATGTTTGTCTCCTTGGTTGCAAGGTCGTGTGGACTTACAAGTAGAAACCAACGTTTCGGAAGAAAGTGCTGCCTATATTCGCCTGTTTGGAGACTTCCTATTGACCCGGACCGTCGCCCCCCCCCCTCATTCCACGTCTCTGATTGGTCCATTTCCATAGCCTTCGCTTCCTCTAACCCCATATAAATTCTTACACTCCCTAGCATTGCCACTTCAGCCCTGAAGATGTACAAAATATATTTTTCCGAAACGTTGGCATTTATTTATGATTCTACATGCGGACAAAACTCAAAGACATAAACTATCATCCTCACCCCCGTCGAAACCTCAATCCTCACATAACATTTTTTGTTTTGTTTCGTTGCTATCCATCCTTTCTTTTTTTCTTCTGTTTTCTTCCATTTTTTCGTTTCGCCTTGTCTCATTCTCCTCGTACCCTTCGTTTCTTCTTTCGTTCTTTGTAAGGGTTCAGATAAAGGCGGCGAATGCATTTGCCATTACGACAGAATTCTATACAGGCGTCTTTGCCGAGAAGGGTTACTTACAAATCACGAGGCACATTATATTAACAAGCAACCCCTACACTACCAAGAGGGTGCATCAAACCGCCCCTAGCGCGCCGTAATATTGGAAAGTAGCAGCCACTAATTCCACAAACACTCATAAGTTTTTAGCGAAGGGGAAGAATTGATGGAAGTCTGTAAGACGCAGAAAACACTCCAGACGTCTTGCGGAATTAAGTAGATTGTGGGTGGCGGGGGGCCCATAAATGTTTTTCACTATTTCATTTTTAAATAGTGATTTATATTGAGTATTATGGGGTAGGGGAGAAGACGCAACCAACCCTTGCTATGAGATTGTGTGTACACTCGGGTGAGTTTCCAGTAACAGGACGGTTTAATGCTCCGTTATGACGGAATTTAGAACGTCGCTGAACTTCAGAATGTTTCTTACGTCAGATGTCTCCAGTAATTATAAAAATCCAAAATTACGCTAAAAAGTTTTGTTCCGTTTTATCTCAGTTAAGTTAATTAAAACTTGTTTATGTGTTTCATTAAAATAAAGCGTGGCATAAATGTCAGATGTAAAATAAAAATTAATATTCTGGAGTTATTGAACAGTGTTTTATTTTTAAATATTTAAGATCTTTAACAATAATTATTTATGAAAGTAATATGAACTGTGGGTGAACAGATTGAAACTGAAAATTAACGCCGAACGTTTTGAACACGTTTATAGGGTTTATTTGTGTGCGAGTACATAATTAATTTGCAAATGCTTTGAATAGGCACGTAATATTTTATCATAATTGGTCCATTTTGGACTGATTACTATCGACAAACGAGACAGTTAGGAGAAGTTAATAGTCGCCTAAGAATTGTCACAGAAAGCTCGCTCAGATCGCAGTATTATTTTCTGTTGTGTGTACAAGCGTCTGTCAGCATTACTTCATCATTTTATCTCCCAGTTTAAGCCAATCATATAGTCCATTAATATCGTTTTCAGTGCTGTGTTATTATGACGATGTGTATTATTACGAATGCATATAAGCTGGCTTACATGTTAATTACTGTGCCACTGGTTATCCCAATGGAAACTGGATTACTGATTCTGATGTGGTCACGAATTATAGTTTCATTACTGAGCGCTGTGGATCTGCACATCATGAGGCCGAATTATAAAAACAGTTCTTTTTAGGGAAGTTCGACATTTACGATTCTCCGGAATTAGTTTCAGCGGCTGACTCATTGCATTCTATTCACGCTCGATGTTGTTCATTGTATGTTAATAACACGAAATTTCGGGATTCTATTTATAATGGAAATTTAATATTTGAGTAGTTCCGTCTGATACTACTTTGTTATTATCATCATCATCATCATCATCACTTTTGCATTCTGTAGCTGTTCAGTCAGAACGTTAATAATGAATGGAATAATAATTGTTGTTATTATTACAAATCCTTTCCCTTGCTTCTCGATAAGTATCGAAAACGAAAGAAATGGACATATTTGAGTGTATGACAACCAGCTGGCATAAAATTATATCAGAAGAGCTGGTTAGATCACCTAGAAAGAATATACAGAAGCCGCTTACCCAAAAGAGCTTTTCAATACAAACCCCGGGGTCGACGGGTTGCTAGAAGACCCAGGAAAAGATGAAGGGATCAAGAACACCTTGAACTGTATAGGAACAGGTCTTAAGACATATCCCTTATTTATGTTCATGAATAAGAAGAAAGATGACAACCAGTAACTTCGAGAAGGCAATGTAATTACTTCCCGAAACGTCGTTTTCTTTATAATTTTGGTGGACCATAATTTTATAACAACATTTCTCCATATTGTTCTAATGTTGTTTTGGCTTCTTGGCCGTCATAACGGTAGATATTTGTCTGTCCATTTCTTCTTTCGCGATATCGACAACAGACGTTTCGAAAGCCTACATAAGTCATTCTAGTAGCGTTCTCACTCCAGCAGTTCGAATTAGGGTTTGATTATTGCCTAATTTGTATTATTTTTGTTACTTTTAACTGTTTAATCATCTCTATAACATTAATTATTAACTAAGTGCGTCGTAGAGTAAGACAAATGAAGTTTCTGTTGTTTTGCTGACAGGGGAAAACGTAAGTAGGTAAAATTAATTCAGTTCTGTTCGGAGCTACGGACATCAAAATCTGAATTAGTAAGATCAGAATTCTGATTACAGACTCGTTTTGTGTAGGTAGAGGCCCTTATGATTTACCAATGAGAGGACAGACTTGAACAGTTCCAAATGCGCTACGTCACTCTCCGTATAGAGAGAGAGAGACATTCTGTTACGGAACGCATGTCGACCTCCGGCTAACAGACTCCTCTATGTTGCCTCGTTGTTCCGTTAAAATGTTTTTGTGATTCTCGCATCGTCATATCTACAGGCAGTTTGTACCTCCGAAGGCTTACTTCATGTCAACAAGTTAAGCATGGAAATGGAACACGTGAATTTACTAGATGTATTTGTTGCTATTTGGCCTGGGCTGTTATTTGCCTAGATGCTTATTTGTTTCATAATAATATTGATATTACATTGCATAGACGTTTTTATATTTTGTTAATTATCCACCACATCGAAATGTTTCTAATAGATATTGTATATTTTTAAGAGAACTGTATATTTTGTCGTGTGCCAAATTAAATCCAGACTACAACTTTATGATCTATTTTCCTGAAGTCCATTTTAATATTATTTTTATTTTACACCTCCGTGTCCTCAGTGGTGTCTTTCCTTCGGGTTTTCTAACTAAAATTGAAAATAAATTTATCATGTTTACAATTCGTGCTACATGCCCCATACATCTTATCATTGATAATGTTTTACGAACAGTACAAATTACAAGCTACTCGTGCCCTGTAGTCTGGCAGATACTGACCCGCCTGAGTCATCGACTTCACGTCTCTTAACCGCTCTGTCTCTGTGTTGCAGCGGGCACCCCGAGCATCAGGGATAGTTTGCCACACCCGGTCCACGTGTACGAGGGTGATGACGCTCTCATTACGTGTGTGGTGCGGGACATCGGGGAGAACACGGTCATGTGGAAGAAAGAGGACCGTGAGAGACATAGTCGACGGGTGTTGACCGCCGGGGAGAACCGAGTCACCGCCGACAGGCGCTTCAACGTTCTGCATGACGCAGGTGAGTCACCCCCCCCGGCGCGAAGGCTTCGGACGAGCCCAATCCATTAAGGCAGGTTTCAACAGGTTTCCTATGGTTCGATTAGCGTACCTTACATCGCAATTTGAACGGATTACGTTAATGCATGCTTTGTGCCGAGTTGTACCCCCGCTGTTGTCACGGGCTTGGCCCAATATTTGTCTGAATCTTTGTTCTGGGTTTCGCCCCAAATTATGCGCCATGTTTTGTGGTGGGTTTAAAGTGGGTTTGTCTCATGGTTTCCCCATGTTCCATCCTGGATATTTTAACGAATTATGTCCCGGATTTTGACAGGTTTGGCCCTCAGGGTATTTTCCAAGGTTAAGTTCCGCGTTTAATCATCAGTTTTTGGTCCCCGGTTTGATGCAGGTTAGTTCGCCGTTTAGTAAAACGGGCGATACATGTATTCTGTTCGATTTGGTAAACCGGGCTGTTCCTGATCTATTGTATAGTTTTTATAACGTTTGCTGAAGAGGAAGAAAAAAAAAGTGATTTTTAAGGTTTTATGATTTGAAGTATTTTAAAAAAGGCAGACAATAGACGATCATTTACTTACTTTTAATGTAAATGACCGAATTTTGGGATTTTAGAGTGATCCAGTTTGCAGGGAAATGGATATGACGTCATATTTTAAAGAACGTAACGGCTTCCATTGTTATTCTAAACAATTTATAAACATATATTGCGTGACTTAAAACTTGCCGGGGTTACTAATTATAACAGCTGATTTAAGTATGCGACAGAAGTATATTTTTTGACAGCAACTTCCGTTCTGTGAATCGCCGTGTTATCCCAGCAACTTCTCCGACAGTATTGTTCGGCGGGTGACACTAACAAGATCTTGCAGGCGTTGGTAGCATTATGTTACTGTCATAGTTACTTACGGAGTTTCTCGTTACTTCTGGCCAACCTCTTATTACTGCTTCCTTCTTTGTTCCAAGTATTTTCCTCTGCATTTTGCTTTCATTCTGTTATTTTCTTCTTTCTTTGTGAGGGGCCAAGTTTAACTCCTGTATAAATAGAGACACATTTATTGTTTTGGATATTTTAATGCGCAACTTGATTTTTGAGTCTATTACACAACTGTATTGGTTTGATTTATTTTTTTATATATTACACTTTTTACCAAAAGCACAAATTCTGAACAGCTGGATTTCCATCACACCCGCACTTTGGGACCAATTTCAAAATCAGAAGCCAGTCGCTAAGCAACGCAATCTAATGTTAACGCAACTTAAAATTAAAATAGATATATCTTCTTTCCCCGGAATATCAACTGAACATTTTATCCGATATTTCGGTATATTTTACGCAGTAGAATAAAAGGTTTATATTACAATCTATCCTTCTCAGAGGCCACGTATTTTATTATAGCAATTCAGAGGATAATAAGCTTTTTCCTTCAAAACATTTCATGTCGCTGTTTCTGTATCGTACTGTACATAGAATTGAGTTGTGAAATATTTCTACATTTATGTAGGAATAAGAAAAGAAATGATCCTATCGAAAATTGGGAAGATGTAGTCCGCTTTGTAAAGGGCCTCGCTTTCTGATGGCATTGAAGAAATATACAAAAGCCACCAGTGATCTTTGTGTACAAGACAGAGAGATTTTGGTTTCTGGCGTGATCCCTTTAAGTACTGAATACAAAGCGAACAAAAGAAAGGAAATACATAACGAAGAATGGCTAACGGTGTGGGATAAAATTCTCCTCATTTCTATACCAATTCCATCCTTTTTACTTTCTTTCCTCAAACTTTTCAGTTTACTTTTCCATTTACGATCTTCCTATGAACCTGTTCCTTCACTTATCCTCCGCCATTCCTTTACCTTTTTCTGCACAGAAGTTGTATTATTGAGTTGGAACCGATCACACATAAAAATAAGTTTGCTCCATGAGCTTAAGTAGCCATAAAAGTATTGAACATATTTCAAGTGTAATATTCTGTATCAGTAAATTTCCCTGGAACGATATAGGAACTTCACAATAATGTGGATATTTTAATAAAATATAGAAAGTGTTTATTATCACATAGCAGGTAAATTTAATCGTCCGTGTTTGCACAAGGTCAGATGATTATGCTTTTGTGAAAGGGTAGATTTGTCAGGATGTACTGAGGAATACCCAGGAAATACCTGTCTCTGGTCCCCGATTTCAACCTTGACCTAGATAATATGAAACAGGAATGGCAAATCGGTCGCCACGTTCATTATGTAGGTCGTGGCGCGTTGATATGGGAATTATGTGGAAGGAAAGGGGTCTATTCTAGCTTAAGATCGTTTTCCAGTTTTTGTCTCGAAGGCTGAGGAGAAATGTTGACCTCTGGATCAGGGGTCAGTTACGGAAATGGCACAGTAGTGAGTTACGAATCGCTGGCAATGTTTTTACAATTTTGACATAAAATTACATTATTCATAGAATCAAGACGTGCAGAAGAAAGAAAAAGAAACTTTTTCCTCGTAATGTTTGCATAATTAGGTTCTATTTCGTTTTATGGCAAATGCCGATGCTATTATATATTTTTATATCTGCACTACGAGGGTGTTGCCCGGAATTATGAATATCGAATTTGTATTAACTATGCTGCAGGAAACTGTATTAAGGTGGTTTTTTTTTTGTACATGCGTGTAGAACGCTTAAAATTTTCATATGTTTAAGAATTCGTGTCGTCGTAACTTCCGGTTTTTACCTGAAGAATTTTTCGAATTGGCAAAAATGTATTATTCTCTCTCTTCGGCTTTAATGAATGAGGCCTTCCGACTTTTCCCAGTTCACATTTAATTATAAATCCATGAGCCCTTATATTTAGTGGGACCTTATGGATATGATGGGGTGTGTATGTAGAAAGGACAGGGTGAGACGAGAATCGCAGCCTGTTTCAGAGAATCGCCCAAATTTTTGCCGGAAGTAACAGATCAGACATAAGGAGCATGATTCAGGAAAGTAGATTCCTCTGCCGTAATTCTAAATCGAGCGATCATAGTAAAAGAAAGATGTTCACTGCCTAATAAAAGTCATTTATATGAACGTCAGACTTCAGAGCCGTAGGATCTTCAAACCGTTTCAGATTATCCACAGGAAAACTATTACTACTAACAGCAAGGTTAGGAATTTAATTGGATTAGGTTATAAAATATGAAGTAATCCCTTAAACTCCTTAGATATGTTGTTAAGTGGCTGACTACTTCCGAGAACTTTCTAGCTCCTCTCTCTCTCTCTCTCTCTCCCTCTCTCTCCCCTTATACATAATCAGATGCTTTGACTTGACACCCCACGGTTACTATCAGCATTAATGTGGAGGGTACCATCCTACCCCCCACCCCACCCCAAAATCTCTTAAACTGTCTGTTGTGGCTGCACAGTTACGCTTAAGAAAATTAATATAGTGTCGTTACGTTTGGTGGAAAAACCTAATTGATCACAATTCATATAATCATATTGGAAGTTTGTCTGTTAGTTGATAAAACGCGAAAACTAACTTGTTTGTCCATGCTTTTCTAGAAACAAACATTATGCTAATGACTCCTGAGAAGATAGCAAGAAAATTAAAAAAATACATAATCAGACTTTGTATTCGTAGACGCTTAATTATGTTGGGTTAAATAAAAATAATTCTTAATGAGAGGGACATGATACACAATAGGATGTTTGTGAAATATTTACATTTCATGTCCCCATAAAATATCACAGTTATTATATGGACCGCCTGCTTCAACATTCAACCATTTTGTATTATACCAACGCAGCGTATTTATTTGTTTCGTATTATTTCGCAGTAAATAGCGATTACTTTCTTAAACAGCATTTATAACTTGGTATTTGTCATTTTATTTAAAGTGGGAACTGAACTTTTAAATATTATTTAGATGAATATCTTCCTTAAACGGTTTAATACCGACTTCTCTGTGTAGAACTAATACAAAGGTATATCTCTCATCTCTTTTATTGTGATCTGGATTAAACTTGATCAGTAAGTGAAGGACTGATAATTCGTAGCGTCACGATGGACGTTTAACACACAACGAGCTTGTCTGAGCAGACTCTCATTAGTAACTGCAAATTATTAAATTTGTCAATTTGAAATTTTAATCCCCTTTTGGTAATCTTGTTATGCATTCGGGTTTCGTCGTATGATGAGAAATTAACTGCATGATAGCCAACCAGCCTGTCAACTGGTTGACAGTTAAGCTAGTAACCTCAATGAGGTTATGTGTAATAATGAAACTCTCTGGGGCTGAGGCTTTAGTACATTCCGTCACTGCTGCAGTCGACTGATATTGATATCACGAGCAGCCAGAAATATTGAATTGCATTCATAATGTGACGACTCATAAATTTCAGGTGGGTGTACTGCAATTTGGACTTTATCGAGTTCCCAACAAATGCTGCATAAATCTTGAGTCCTTAAAAACGGTTTTTTTCATTCACTTAATGTCAACAATTTGTAAATGTTTGTTTCCTACAGAATCGTTGAAAATCGTGAAGACAGAGACTCCAGTGTAAAATTATTGTCAGTAGCTCAAAATGATAGAACAGATTGAAGAATATGGAACGATGGTCGATATTTTATACACTTCACTGATATGATGACTAGTCTACTTTTATATATTTATTGTTACTAATTTCACGCCTATTTGTTATTCGCCATAACACTAGTTCGCGAGGATAGTCAAAGACCCGCAAATAAAGCAAGTCAGAAGCATGACTCCTGGTAACAATAAACATTAAGCTAGATGTGTGTATTTATTTATAGTTTATCTAAAGACGCTCTGACTGTATAGCGTCTAATGAAAGGGTGATAGTTAATCATAAATTTAAAATGATGTTGAAGGAAGCGGTCGTGGCCTAATTTAAGACACTACCCTTGCATTTGCCGTGGGGGACTGAGGAAAACCACGTATCGCCCTCCCCCCGTCAGGATAGCCGGTCTTCGGGCCGATATTTGAACCCGAGACCTCCCGAATACGAAGCAGGAGTGATAACCACTCGGCCACGACGTAAATGAATGTGTGAGTGTATGAGTTTAAATACAGGGCCTGCGGTTGTGTACAGACCGACACGCAACAATACTTACTGTCTGAAATTTGAGACGAAAGTTTGTAACTAAATAATGTATTTATTTTCCTTAACAGTTTCGCCGGGTGACCAGGATGATGAGGCAATGTCAGGCAAGTGCTTTTAGTTCTTAAATTGCTGGTGCTTGTAGGGTGACGGTGTTATTGGTGGTTCTGCAGACCTGTTCAGATGCACAGAGCAACTTACATTCCGATGTTTCCGAGACAGGTTCTCACAACAGTGAAAGATGCCGATAAGAATTGACATTGAGAGGATCATAAGTTTTGTCCGCTTTTCGCATTTCGTTACAAATTATGAAACTTCCAAGTTAGATAATGTATGGAGAGAACTGTATTATCGTCATTTATGAGAGGCGTACGTAAATAACACTGGGCAAGAAAACACGTTCATGTCCTGGGACCTTCTCGCTACTTATTTGTATGAGATCCATAATATGATTCCGTACTGAATGGTGAGGAATGTGTACCAGATTAAAAGGTGACTGTGGATAGGTAGGGACATTGAAGGAAACCATTGCTGCATACTTTAAGCTACTACACCAGGTTCTTATTGGACATGCAGAGGACCTCGGGGTCATGTTACGACCGGTATTCGAACGCATTACCTTCTAAATGGGAACCGTTTCTTTACCGATGTACACAAACATCATTTCCAATACTATCCTGCTAATGCGTAGTCTGTGTGTCCCGTATGGTTTTGGGCTAAAACACATTACAAGTTTATTCAGTACAGCCGAATTAATTTCAAATTTTGCAAAAGCATTGCTTGTATCGTCACGGACAGCCAGTGTGAGGACGATGAAAGTAGTGCGTCATGAGAAATGCACAATTTTAGTCAGAAAATCTGGAGGGTAGACGCTGCTAGAGAGATCATAACATTGAAATGGATCTTAAAAATAAAGGTGTGAGGATGTGGATTGGATTCAGTTGGCTTGGGGTAGGATCCAATGTGAACACAGCAATGAATCTTCAGATTTTATAGCGACCATAAGCTTCTCAAGATGGGCCCTGCTCCATGAAGTTATTTTATCAGCACTGAAGATCCTCAAGAAGATTCCTGTTATGAATTTATTTTATTAACATTACTTTCATTGTTAGAATAAATTGCCACGTTTTGTACTGCATAGAAATAAACCTATCCAGTATTTCGAAGATATCAGGGCTAATGTTTATTCTGTCCTACAATTCGTGACATCACTTTCTACAGAGGACTGTAATGGATTATTAATTTGTAGTTGCCAGATCAAATTGAACTGAAAGTAGTTGTTATTTTGTGGTTGCTCTATCCACCGGACAGGTAGCGGAATCATATTTTAATAACATGGTTTTTTTGTCATTGTATTTTCATTCGTGTGTTAAGCATAATTTTGATTTTTTTTAAAAAAACGAGGGAGACTCACAGATAATTTATAAAATATTCACAGAATAGCTCACGCAGAATGATGAACATGCCTGTGAACACGTCAACATTCTTCATTCTGTCCAGTGTGAATATAATTTATCTCCGCTTAAATTTTAATTTCAGATGATTGTCTCTTGCTGTTACTTCTGTTTGTTAGAACCCAAGTTCTGTTTTATAGAGTAAAGTATGAACTACCAGTATTTTCTGAAATTTAATTTATGTTTAATTTGTGTTTTACCTAGACTTGTAGTTAAAGTGACAGTAGTGAATTTACAGCATTTTTAAGCGTGTGTAAGCTGTGTTTTACCTAGATTTGTAGTTAAAGTGACAGTAGTGCATTTACAGCATTTTTAAGCGTGTGTAAGTTTTAAGCTTGCGTCTTTCCAGTATTACCGAATTGTTTTGCATTAGAAAGTACAATACCCACGAACCTGATTCGTCAAATATATTTGAATCTACATACATTTTTAATTTTATAAATTCGGAGACACTGAAAAATCCGTATGTTCCAACAGATGGCATTTGTGGTAATTTGTTGCCCGTACGTTTATCTGTGGCCTTTAAACATATTAAATTAATCAATTGATGCTTTTACTCGTACCAGAGGCTATTTGAATGTGGTTGTGGATATTTGATCACCAGATGGAAGTCATATCCATATTTACAATGCGGTAGTTATTTGCTACTGTGTTATGGGTAACATTTTATTACGGACACAGGAAGCACGTGTCGTTTCTAATTAGTTTTGCACGGATCAGATCTGGAGTCCACCGACTATTCTATGTGTACCTTAATCTTTTTTTTCATTGGGTTTAAAACATCCAGATCATTAAGTTAAGCTGACTGCTCACTTCCATCTAATTCCAAGATTAAGAATGCATGGAGTTTACCTCCAGTCATTTTATACATTTTTGTGGTATAGTGGATAGATGCAGGACGGCTTTATGTTTGTGAAGTTTTTCATTAAATCTTCCTCTTCTTCTATGGCTCTCCGGTCCGTATTCGGTCCATGGCCTCCTCAATTCTCCTCTCCCGTTCGGTCCTCTGTTAGGTCCGTCTGTCCGAGGTTTAGGTTTCGAAACATCTTCCTTTTTACGGTGCAAGGTTGTTAGCCTTGCGACCAACCCCCAACCTGGAGGACCAGGGTACCTGTTTTAGTCTGACCTCTCTCCCTAGGGAGGCCCTACCAGTAGCTCTTGGGGTCACTGAGGTACACAAGCCCCACCACCACGACAAGGTGCAGGTACCATTAAGTGGGGTTTTCATTAAATAAAGAAAATAAATAATAAAGTATGGAATGTTAGGTTAACAGTCAATCTGCACAGGAATTCTTGATTGTAGTTTCAGTGTTTATAAAGAATCGATCGCTTGTTTCGACCTTAATTGGCGACCTTTAGCAGATTTTCTTCAAGTGTTTGAAATTAATAAATATGACTGCTAATTTGTATATACATTTTCTGTTGCTGACTGTTTTATTTTCCTCTCATATTTGTCACAAGTGTTTTATATCAGGGGGTTGTTGAACGAATATAAAATTGTTACGTAGAAAATGACTACCCTGTTTCTCGTGACCCTCTTTGGACATCGATAGTCCAGTCAGTCATTTGACTAGAACTTTCAATAATTCTACAATAATTCCCTCCCCAGACATTATTATATATGTAAGAAGTTGGTCAATGGTTATAATGATGATATATTTCCAGGTGGTGATGTATGGGTCCTGGTGATCAAGGATGCTAAACCCAGTGACTCTGGTATCTACGTATGTGAAGTCAATAGCAGCCCAATACTGAGGTCGTTCCACAAACTCAGTGGTAAGTATAGACAAGACTGGTACTGCCATCTGTTTAGTATTAGTAGTGGTAATGATGAGAGAAGACTAGTAGTGCCATCTGTGAAGTACTAGTAGAGCTAAGGAGAACAAATAAGACTACTACTGCCATCTGTTAAGTACATTCAATAGCTTTCATATCAATTCAGCGAAAGCATTTAAATTGGTCAAATGTCTGTTTGACATTATACCGACTGTTGTATTTTATTTATCCTCATTTCTTGTGTATCTAACAACATCAAACCTGTTGTTATTTGAACCCAAAACAAGTGACAAAGTAATATAAGTACTAAGCGTCATGTGAGCCAACAAACACTTGTGGACAGATGAAGCCTCATACTTTTGTTAAATAGACATGTAATACTTAAGCTTATGCTGCTTTCTCGACACACTGTGCCAGGGACAAATGAACAGAAGTGTTGCAAGTGACTTCTGTAAAATTATTAAGTGGATTTATATGTTCCGTGGAGCACGACCCTTTTTTAGAAAATGACCGTCACTTGGCTAGTCAAGATATTTCCCATCTTTAACTTAAGCCAAAGGTGCATTACCACGTAGTAGTCGTGGCAGTCTTCTCCTGCAGACCTCTCCACCACTGAGTGTTGCTTGATGATGCTGAGGTGGGTTTACATTCGACTGTATCTACAATCCTTCATAGGTTACTGGTTGCCAAGAAAATTCTTCTCTTATTCCTTGTTTTTTTTTTTTAGTGTTGTCCAGGGTGCTGCTTCCACCAGACAACATGACTGACCCCATGCTGTATGACAGCCAGAAGGGCCCACAGGGACGCAGTCACAACTACACTGATTGCTGTGTAAATAGCAATGTATCGTCTTCATGCTTTGGCTTTTGCAACATTCAGAGTATTTTGGAAGGCAATACAGGTCAAGACCCTGAAAACTGCGAAAAGGACTTTCCAGCAATTGTTAGGTGCATGGCAGGTAAGAGAACACAGTCATGTTGATCTTCTGGGTTGACACGTGCAAACGTTTTGGAGGAATTCGAAGAGTTTGCCCACGGTATCAAGAACAAGGCAGTCGGTTGCTCTTGTACGTCAATGCCCCGGCTCACAAAGCCACCATCGTCCGCTAGTTTTTGGCATTCGAAGGCGTCATGGTTCTTAATAACCCCCCCCCTCCCCTTACTTGCCTGATTTTTCACCTTGTGACTATTTTTTGTTCCCTAAACTAAAATTGAAAATGAGAGGCTTGTGTTTTGATAACATTGAAGACATTCAAAAAGCTGCGACCAACTTCCTGGAGGCTGTTCCTAAGAAGGACTTTTGGCAATGCTTTGAAAACTTTATGATCTTTGTAATAAGTTTATTGCTGCAGATGGAATGTATTTCGAATAATATGCAATAAAAAATTTAATTACTTGAAGATAAATGTGTTTTTTAAACCAGTCCAGAAAATTGTGGGACACGCTGTAGACTGCTTTGCTAAGATACTTTTGTAAATGTGGTAAAATCGGAATGACCAGATGCTTAAGAAGTGAACGCTTGGAGACTATTAACAATATTGATTATAAATTTTAAAACTGTAAATTTCAGAAACTCTGTGGAATTGAATTAAACAATTACCTGACGTGTTGTTCTTGTGCTGATGCAGATGGAAGGAATCATGTACCATGCTGTATCCAGGAAGCAGTGCCCGACATTTGCCAAGATGTTTGTCGCGGAGAGTACACTGTGATCACCGACAACATCAAGACTCACTTCTCGTGTTCGGCTTACACGGAACAGACACTTTCCTGTATAGTAGAGGGCATAGGTAAGACTCACGTGCTGCCTTTATATCGTACTGTGTTGATTTATTGGTTTCTGAGTTTGTTTATTATGACTTTCATTTCCAAGGGTTGCAGAGCCTGACTACAAAATGCCATGTTCCCTTCCTCATACTATACCACCTATACACACTTCAAGAGGAGAAAATAAGAAACAGCAGGATGGTTACAAAGGGAAAATTTTGGAAGTTGAAAAAAGATTAAATTATGACATAATAATATGGCAGTATTATTACTAAATTTTTTACCTCTTATTATTTTGCTTCTAGAAATTCTTCCTAGTCCACCAGAAAATGTAGAAGTTGAAGGACTGACTGAGAAGGCGCTGAAAGTGTCATGGACCCATCCATTGCAGAACCCAGAGACTGTCTCCAAATATGTTGTGAATGTGACAATGCTGAGATCATTTGATGAGGACACAGAACTTCCAGATGACAGCTACGCTGCAGCCACCGACAGTTATGTCCTAGCTGCCGGACTCTACAACGCGACCGCGAAGCCTACGACCAGCACGCTAAGTCCACAAGAGGACAGAAGCACCCTGATAAAGGTAGGCTCATCTGTGGTCCTGTTAATTTTGAAAATTTTGATGGAGAAGCTTCTTGTAAAACAGCAATTTGGAAGACCAAGAAGAAGAGAGGCAGTTAACTGAAAGTGGATTTTGTAGAAATGATTTGTGGTGATAGCAGATGAGACTAGTTCAGCATTGTTCAGTGGCAAGCTTAGATATTAACTGGACTGAAACTTTAGCTTTTACTAAAAGATGATCAGTTTTCCAGTGAGTGAGTTTAGTTTAGTTTAGCTGTGTAGTCTGGTCGATGTTTACCAACGTTTCAGAGGTCATACTGCCTCCGTCATCAGGGCAATTATCAGACTACACAGCGCAACAACCCAGAAGACAGAAATCTTCAATGAATTCTTAATCTTCAATATTCAATTACTCAACTTATAACTTCAGTATAAATATTAGTGTCAGTAATATGTTTTAATTTTACGATCAGATTCCAGGAAAGTACAACACTACCATAGTGAATACTCTGAAACCATATACAATGTACGAGTTGTCTGTGACCGCCCTCAACATCCATGGAAGCAGTTTACCATCATATTCTGTAAGGACGCTGACCCTGACGCCCGGACAAACGAAGCCCAATTCTGTGGCTCAGGTTCCAGAACTTCCAGACATCAAAACGTGCTGCACCAAGAAGGGCATCTCTCATCCAACGTGAGTGCTACAGTGGCTTATTCAATAGACACTATATTTACTGATATGTAACCCTGTTGCTGCGATATCTGACTGAAGTTGAACAACCATCCATTACATCCAATTTTAGTCTTCTTTAATAAATATTATTCTCCCTTTGCCATATATACATAATGTGACTTCATTCACTGACCTAGTTTGAAGCATTTTAAGTTTTACAAAAATTTTGTTACAATAAATCTGAAAAAAGTATTGCAAATTTTACATATTTTTATTTCATACTCATTTATTCAGAATTTATAAAGCATAGAAACACTTAACTGTAAGTGAAATTAGTAAATCATGACTCCCAAATCACTTTTAAAATCTAGATAATGTTCTATTCGATAAAGTTGAAATTTACAACTTCCCATTCTCTTCCTTTAACATCCATTTTAGTATTATCCTTACATATATATCTAGGTCTTTCTAAGTCATACCTTTCCTTCAGGTTTTCCAGTCAGTATTTTCTCCAAAATTCTTACTTCATGCCTGCTTCTGTCCCATTCTCCTTGATATTATCATCCTAAAAATATATGGTAAAGAGTATACGAGACTATGCATTCATCATTAAGCAGTTTTCACCAGCCTCTTGTCATTTCACTCTCCTAGGTGCAAGTATTCTCCTCACCGCCCTGTTCTCAATCTGTATTCTTCCATTAATTCGAGAGACCGAGCTGTAGCACGTAGGAAATTAAACTTGGTGCTAAAGACGCTGCACTCGCTGTTTTCATAATCAGCTTCTGTTTTCAGGTGTGTGGAAAAGCTGTGTGATCCAGCTCTGTCAGATATAGCCGAGGTGACAGATCTCATGATCTGTGCTCCGTGGGCTGCGGCAACATTCTCGTGCCTCACAAATGGTGTAGACCACACATCATGCTGTCAAGCTCGTGGCCTGCCTGACCTGTGTCAGGAACTTTGCACTGGCAATATCACTCAGCTTGACTTCAGCTACTTTAAGTATGCGTACCCAAATTGTCTGTTTATCTTGGTATTAATATAAGCGGTAAATGAAATAAACCTTTAAATCGTTTTTGATTCAATATTTCTAAATATTTTTGGATCACATTTCTGTAATTATAGTTAATATATTACCTCTTGAGTATTTACAAGATAAATTAAAATTATATCATTCAGCATAAATGGCTTATAGCCGAGCTACAGAAAACCACAGGAGATGCCAGTGAATACAAAATATTTTTGTTCTCAAACTTAGACGTCCCAGTGAAGTAATTTTAACTTTCAATCACCTGCTCATGACGCAAACAGATTAGAATCAGTTTTTGTATATTATCTGTAGCTTTCCCAGTATAACTATTGTTAAGTCTTGTTTGTTTTCTGTTCCGACTGATGTGTTCCTTCTTGATCTAACATGTGGCTGTCTTCATGATTTCTTCAGCAAACTTACAAGTGATACAAATGAACTTATTACATTAAAATCTTATGGGCATGCAAACACGACCATAATATTAGACCCTGGTCACACGACTGTACAAAGTACATCCGTTGCAGCGGACGTACTTTTGTACGGACGTAGGTGAGGACACCACACGTTTTTAAGTTGGATTTCGTCTCAAATCAACATCTTTGCCTCTGATATCATACATTGTGAACAAATTTCTATGAGATTGAATTTTTTCCTGCAGGTGCTTGAAGTACATGAGTGACTACACTAACTGCTTGCTTCAAGGATATGGTGTGTTGCCAAGTGCACCCACGAAGGTTCATGTGTCCCACATTGATATTGAATTTTCAATCATCAATTGGGACATCCCCAGTACTCTGGGTGACACCGTGCTGTATTACAATGTTCACTATCGCAAGATGGCAACTTATGACAATGAATACCACATCATCAGCAAGGTTCATTCTCCATTTATTCTTGAGAATCTCTCCAGCAACACAGATTATGAAGTATTTGTCGAAGCTGTCAATGGCCATGGTGTTGGGGAACCTTCAACAAGAGTGATCTTCAGAACAGAGAGTAAGGTGAGGAATGCCATAGTCTTCTTTTTCTTTTTCTTCTTCTTCTATGGCTCTCCGGTCGGTATTCGGTCCATGGCCTCCTCAATTCTCCTCTTCCATTTGGTCCTCTGTTAGGTCCGTCTGTCCGAGGCTTTGATCGAGGTTTCGAAACATCTTCCTTTTTACGGTGCAAGGTTGTTAGCCCTGCGACCAACCCCCAACCTGGATGACCAGGGTACCAGTCTTAGTCTGACCTATCCCCCTCGACCAATCTGGCTAGGGAGGCCCTACCAGTAGCTATGCTACCGCCAGCATAGCTCTTGGGGTCACTGAGGTACTCAAGCCCCACCACACGACAAGGTGCAGGTACCATTAAGTGGGGGACAGATAACTACACATTCTATTATTTGTAATACTTCTGTAAATATAAGTGAAACTATCTAAGTATGATTTATGTAAGACTTTGTCTAGTTTCATGATTAATATAATTTAAAAGTTTAACAGTTTCCATAAACATTCAGTAAAATCATTGCAGTTTGCATCGTACAACTATGGAGGTTCATATGCTGAATATCTGAATGGATGGAAGGATAGAGGGAATGAAAGATGAGTGGAAGGAAGAACATGATAGATACAGGGAGGGAATATAATAATAGAAGGAAGAAAATATGAAGGGAAGACAGACTTGTGATTATATAGATGAAGGGATGGAAAAGTGGACAGATGTATGAAAGAAATAACTTCTTATAATAGAAGTAATAACACAAGGCATTAACTAATTTCAGCTAGTGGAGGAGAAGACAGAGGAGGCGAGTTTCTACAATGTGACGGCATGCTGTGTGGAAGCAGACCTGAACGACGTGTGCTTCCCGTTGTGTTCGTACAATGCCAACATGTCAGACATCAAGTCTTTGGCAGGTATTTGTGGTAGTGAACTCCACAAGCTGTTGCGATGTGGAGCTGGCGGAAGGAATCATGGCTCCTGCTGTTCCCGCCGCGGCGTGCCAAACACCTGTCTTTCCATCTGCTCTGGTGTAATTGTGGACTCACTCATTGCAACGGCCACTGCTTGCATCCCCTTCATTGGAAACATTGTCCAGTGTTTTGAAGAAGGTAAGTGAAGTCTATAAGCATCTTCTGATTCTTTAGCCATCTTTTTTCTGTTCCATGACAGACTTTTCAAGCCAGGAACACGAAAATGAAGATATCTAATGTCTGTTGGTGAATTAGAGTAGGTGGAAAGACCAAATGAAGGAAGATGTACACTATATAATAGGTAAAGAGTAAACATATATGCAGGAGGATTTATAAAAGGATAAAGATGGATGAAGAACGATTTTTCACCGCCCCGGTAGAGGCATCATTAGAAGATGATGAATTCACTTGTTGCTTAGTGCACCGTATTTTCCTTGTTTGAGAGTTCTGTAAGAGCCATCTGTGTTCCAGGAACGGGTTTGCTTCCTGGTCCTGTGTCAGAGCTGCATGCTACGTCGGTAACCAACACAAGTGTTGCCCTGCAGTGGGAACCTCCTACAGATGGCAGTAATGTTACTGACTATGTGATCCATTACCAGAAATTAGACAACACTTCCATACATGAGACTGTTCAGAAGCTTAGTCATGTAAGTACTCACTGGATGTTATCTAGTTAAGTACCTTCCTAGTATATGTGTAAGTAGGAAGAAAATTTTTGATACCCATACATGCACAAAGAAACTCAACTTTGAGTCTAATATCATGAATAATTGCTAGGTATTTTACTGAAAGGTATATTTGTAAACAGTTTTCCTAATTGTTTTGTTTCTTGTTTAGCAACTGAGCCTGTCTGACACAAGATTTGAAATCTCTGGTCTTGAAACAGGGGCCATGTACAACTTCTTTGTGGTGTCAAAGAACATGCACGGAACATCTCTACCTTCCTCGATTCTCATGATCAATGTCACTAACACAGGTATGCAATCAGCACTACATGCAGTCAGGTCTACCATACTCCAGAGTATGAAAATTTGGTAAGAATCCATTTTGCCAATTAAAGTCGGTTCTTACTTTAGAGGAAAATAATTTAAAATTTAACATAATAAGTTTATTTTTATTCTGATCATTTCTGTTGTTGCATGAGTTTATCCCTCTCTGATCTCTGATGTATTTATAATTTCCTAAATGGTTTTGTTATATTCCTTTCATCTCTTTTGTCTTGAGCACAAATGTTTCCTTAATTATTTTCCAAATTATGCTCAGAGACATCACACTCTGTTACTCTGTAGTGTTCCAGTTTCTTAAACATTAATCAGTTTATTTCACATTTTTCATAGACATCTCCTAGTTATGGTACCTGATCATTTACTTCCAAATAGACTATAAACAATCTGTCAGTGTTGCACGTGTTATAATACTAATCATCTCAACTGTTTACAGTACTGGATGACAAGGGTATCCCCGGAGTAACATCGCCGCCTCACTCACTAGCTGTCTCCAGTCATAGTGCGACCTGGGTCACGATATCTTGGCAGCCACCAGAATTCAGCCAGCCAGCTGAACACCTTTCTTACAAGTAAGACTTTGAAGATTTCTGTCTTCTGGGTTGTTGCGCTCTGTAGTCTGGTCGATGTTTACCAACGTTTCTGAGGTCATACTGCCTCCGTCATCAGGGCGATGTATATGTCATATACAGTACTTTCCACAAAATTTACTCAGACGACAACAGTTATTTATAACAGTCATTTAACACGTTGCATTCTCTTCATCTTTATGGTATGTATAATTGATACTGAAAGAGATGCTGAGATTTTATGCAGAAGAAAGAATAAAATGTATCTGTTTGCAGACTGTATCACAAGTCCACTGCTGATGATGAATATCATGCTGTAATGACAAGTGTGACATCACATACGATTGAAGGACTCAACCCGAACACCCAATACATTGTGTATGTTACTGCCATTTCTGAAAAGGGGCAGAGTTTGCCTTCAGAAACTCTGATTGCCTGGACTGATCCTGCATACCCAGCATTTGTGGAGGTAAGTTTAAAGTTAAACATATTTATGTCTTTCATTTGTATTGTTTTACCTTACTGGACTTGCCATTAAAAAGGTCATTCTGTTTGAATAACACATTTGTGTTTTGTTTAACCTTTCAATACGATGCAAGACAGGTCAGCCATTTTGTGACAAACCCTCTCCATTATTTTATATTCTTCCTGAAGCAGCCCTTCTGGGTTTGTCTCCACTACTTCCCTACTCTCTTTTGTATGTTTTCTCTCATTCAGCCTCTCTGCAGAGTCCTTTGTCTTTGCCCATTTATTCTCCATCTTAAATTATGCTGCTGCGAAAGGAATCTGTTTTACTCATGCATAGCATTATGATCGTGTCATTGTCTCCTCAACTTCACTGACTTTTCTTTTAGTGTCCTAACTCTAAATTTTATGTAATCTCATGGTTCCAGTTTTGTATCTGTTTCTCTGTATTGAAACTTCATCTCAACTGCTTGTAATCTGTTGACATGTCTGCATCCCATATGTCACTACATATTAAAGGTAAAATTGCAGTATGAATGTTGCAGCCTCCGACAGTCCACCCCATCAATTTGGTGATGGAAGGCAGTAGCATGACCATCCTCTGTATTGCCATGGGAACACCAATGCCAACGATTTCCCTCTATATATCAGGAAGACTCGTACGCCAGGAGACAACACGTCACATGGTGACTGTTATTCATAATGTCACCAAAGATATGGACCAGATTTCTTGCTATGCTGACAATGGTTATGGAACTCCTATGCAAGCATCAAGAAAAATTGCAATCAGCCGTGAGTACTAAATGGTTTTATTTAACCGGTGCTACATGTATCGCTTCTTCGATAATCGTATATGCTGATAGTAAAGAATTTCTTAATTATTTGTTACATTCATTTGAGTGATATGATATAATTTGTCAACAGAGACTATTGTGGACTACAGATCTTTGTCTGTCAAGGGTTAGTCATGATAATAAGTCATTTACATTTTCAGGAAATAATATAAAAACACGCAGTATTAAAAAGATTATGATATTCAGACATGAAAAAGGGAAAGGCATTTAATACTTAATTTCTTTTGACATAAATTTCACCCTTAATTTATCATGAAATTCATTGTAAAATTTCACGTATTAAATCCTTCTAGTATTTCATAATTTAGTGCTGGATTTTTAAATGTTGTGTTGTATGGAAATGAAGATGACAGTATAGCGTACTGTTGCATAGTGCTAGAAAATAATTGTGTTAAAGAAACAAATATTTGATGGTCAGTGGGAGCGATGACCATGATGGAAATATACAATCTCATCTGTGTGAATGTGATGATAATAAGAAATATATAAGTGTGTCAAATGTATGATGCAGGAATGGCTTGAAGGTAATTTAATTTCGCAGGTATAATGAGAAAATTCAACTTAATTATGCGAGCCATTGCAAGATTATGATTAAAAAGTTTCAGTTCAAGTGTACTTACATGTTTTGATTTAAGTAATTCCTGCAGCCATCAGCGCTGTTGCGCAGGTGAGAAGTTACTGCATATTATAGTTGATGACAGAACATTTCGCTTTTATGTTTTTCAGTGCTATATGAAATGCTTTTATACAAACACTCTGAAGTCATGCCAAAATTAAAATTGAACCTCAAATTGATATTAACTTTATTATCTTTGCATTTGTTGAATTTGTAACTCTCATCTTCATATTTACAATATTGTTTTGTACTATGAAAGTTTCTTACGAAGAAATTTTAAGAACAACTTGAGACAATTTTATTGTGTTTAATCTTTTGAGATCACTCTTTCAGCTGTTTTACAATTCTTATTTATCAAAATAATTTGCAGCTTTAAAAAAAAGTTGAAATGTCAGTGATTTAAAATATCTGTGAACCAAATTCTAATACTGTGATCAATAAATAAAAAATGCATACTTCACTCATTCATTTAAAGTGTATTTACAATTGAACAGTTGAAAAAATTTGAAAGCTAAATGCATAATTTCACAAGTATCTGATATGCCTATAGTGCTGTATCATCAGGAACTGAAACTTTATAACATTAAATAAACTGGTGATCAGACTGTGACATTTACTTTAGTCGTTCTGCTTCAGACCAGCCACACATCACAGCATCTGGCATTACAATGGCATCTCACGGTGATTCTGTTGTGCTGGAATGCACGGTTGGTGCTTATCCAGACCCAAAAATGATATTCTGGCGTGACCAAAGTGGCCGGGTGCCTGTAATCCAGGGTGGCAAATATGATATCAATATTCAACCAGCGAAAGATGTAAGATCAAGTACTTAGTTTTGGTTTTCCAGCATTAGCCAAATTTCATTTTTAATTGTGCATGTTTTAGTGACTATTACACTTGCCATCTTCAGGTTGAGTATCTATAAGAGTGTGTGGATAGCTTAATAGAAGAGAATGAGTGTGTGTGTGTGTGTGTGTGTGTGTGTGATTAGTTAGTATCCTGACCAAGACAATAGCCAAGCAAAGGTTGATTATCAATTAATGGAACTAAAGTTAGGAAGTTAATCCCACTGGTTGCTTAAGACCACTTATTTTCTTTGTTGATGTTTTCTGGGTGTTTGATTGTTTTAATGACTTCTGTGATGGTGGGAAAATGGTAATTCTGAGTACTGGTATTGGCTTCTATCAAAGTCAGTTTATGTGGCATGTTTGGTGATGGCTGGTTATTGGACTTCTTGCTTGGTGTTCCTTACGTGATCTGAAGTTCTTATACAGATGAATCTGATGATTTATCCAGTGTGCTGTCTTGTACAAGAGCATAAAATATTGGACAAGTCAACAGCATGTATTAGAGGTTCTTGACATTTGATAAAAGTATTAAACTGTTGACAGTTTCTGTCCTGCTCAAATTAGACCATATTTCTGTCAAAATAATCTTTCAAAATGTAGCTGTGTTGTTACCACCTTCCTCAGTGGATGTTCAGTTCCATCTTCCTTACATGGCATGGGAAAAATCCAGATTCATACTTCATATACATAAACGCATTATCAGAGGAAAGAATATAAAAATGGGACAATTACCAATTCAATAAGCGTTAAGAGATTAACTTGTTCAGAATGTGTTATGTCATTCGCAGTTGAAACATATTTTGGAATTTTGAGCCCATTTCCCACAAATGAGTTCAGTACTGGCAGTGTTATTGCATACTCAAAACTTTTAAAGCATTTTGGCATGATTAGATGATAGCTGTATGTAAGCAAAGGACAGGAATTGAATTTTTAACAGCAGGAACTGGTTGAAAAAGACAAACTAGTTCTGTTCAGCAATCAAAACTAGAAACCAGTGCAGAAGAAATAACATCAGTGTTTTGTCAATAAGAAGCTCAAATTTGGTCAATTGGGGCATCTAAGATAATACAGTTTTGTGTGTAAACACTAAAACACATATTGTACTTCGTCTTTTACTAGTTCTTATTTTCTATTTTCAGGAAGAAGCTAAGTATATAATGCGTTTGACTATCAACAAGATAAGTGATTCAGATGATGGTGACTATTTCTGTCATGCAGAGAATGCATTCGGAAGTGGCACACAACCAGTATCTGTGAGGATTCGTAATATGGTAAGCGTCATACCACTACCTGTTTTTAGAGATGAGTATTTCTCATTGTTTTGTATAGTTGTGAAAAATTGTAATTTATTTCAGGGAAGGAAATAAATTATAAGAAACTGTAAATTAGGTGCACCCGCCAAGGCTTCTTTTGGGTGCCTGCGTTGTTACGGAAAGACGTTATACTGAATAATGAAGGCCGTTCAACCATGAACATTATAAAATCAAAGCACAGATCTTGACTTACTGACGGCCATCTTGACGACTGTTTGCGAGTAGCAACATCATCCTACACTCCCAAATTTGAAAAACTGGCTGATGAAATGCAGCGCCAAACATCACACTAACCTCCCACTTCAGTAATAATAATTGTACTTATGAAACTACGTATTTTTGATTACACGGTTTCTTGTATCATTAAACATCATGTTGTTTTGCGTATATTTGGTGTCCATATCTTATTTGTCCAGAGAAAAGAAAATTTGGCTTTGTTAATTGGTTGGTGCCCGGCACGATCTCATAAACTCTCAAATGTGCCCGTAGGCACAAAAAGGTTGGGTACCACTGGTGTATATAATGTCACTGACTAACATGATAGCCCAGTGAAGTGACATGATACAAGTTGTGTGTTAAAACATTTATCTTATCTTAATAATACGTGTTTATTGTTGTAGGCTGCTACAAACAATGTAACCCAATGTTGCATAGAACAGAATGTGACGGCTGAGTGTATGGATGCCTGCTCCTTCTATCTCGATATTGACGCAGTTATCGATAAACCAGAATGTATTAATGACTTTGATAAACTTATGAAATGTGCTGCAGGTAATAATATTTCTTATTCTAAATATATTATTGAACTGGTCACATGGTATAAGGGATGTACAGAGGTTGAATAACATTTCCTAAATGTATGTTTCATGAAGGTATATTACACTTTCATCACGATAAATATATTAAATATTAAAGGTCATTTTGGAATGTTATTTATATGAAATCTGCATATGAAGGCAGAAAGTGCAAGGTGAGTGACTAATTTATATATTTCTGTGCAGATGGTTCTGATCATCGCAGCTGTTGTGCACAATGGGGAGTGCCACGTCGTTGTCTTGACTGGTGTCGGGGTGAACCTCTCTTTAACAATAAGTTCTGTGTGTTATCTTACACCAAACAGATCATGTCATGCTTTCATGAAGGGAGAGGTAAATGCAAAATGATGTTTTCTTTTTGTAATTAGTGAAATTAAAATAAATATAAAGCTGGTGTGTTTTTGAAATAAGTTTCAAATTAACTGTAAAATGTACTTGATATTATGATGACTAGGAAAATACAAATATTGTTTGACTGGTTGCCTTCTGGTAGTAGTTATAGAAATCTACAAGTACAAGTTTTAAAAAAGGTTGTTTTTATATTCCTTATATGGAGGTTTACGTTTGTTGTTTCTTGTCCCAGGATCTCTACACATCAACTCAATAAATTGATTTGAAGTATGTGATGGTGTGTGTGTTTGTTTTTAAAATTTTCTTCCCAGATTGGAAGCTTATTTGAGTCATATTTGTGCTGTATTTCAGATCGCTTGCCCGGACCACCACAGAATGTCCATATTGAGTTGGTTGATGCAAAATCTGTGCGTGTAAGATGGGATCCACCAGTCAAGAATCCCAACACTGTTGAAATATACAGGTAAGTAATCCTTTTACTGTGTTCTTTCTAAGAGATGCATATGTCAGTAATCCTCCATCAGACATTAAGCAGATGTGTTCATCTCTGATAGTTACAATCTTGGTTAGCATTTAAATTGGTACCTCAAAATGTTATTTAATAATTTCAGAAATCTCTGTAATACGTTAGGTAAGAACAAGTTATAATGTGACAGTAGACTTTGTTCAGGGATTTCATTACATGAAATTCTGAGAAGGGCAAGTGACACCTGATTTCCTTTAAAGTGTTCTGTGTAGGTAGGACGACACTAATTCATTTGACGGTGTATTGTAGGATCTTTCTTAAAACGTCGATGGTTATTTGGACTGTTAAAGAAATTTGCCGTTTTAAGGAACTCAAATATTGACTTCATGTTTTATGTTGAATTTTGGCTTTGCATATAAGTTTCTGCATGTTTAAAAGAATTCTTATATAATGACATAGGCCAAAAATAAGAAAATTTAATAATGTTTAATAATTTCTTTGCAGAGTTTTCTGGAGGCAGTTAGGTTCTCGCAGTGCAACTAAAAATGACACTAAAGCGACAAGTCTGCGCATTACAGGTTTGAAAGATGGGTCAACGTATGAGTGTGTTATTAAAGCAGGAAATCATCTAGGTACCAGCACATTAACAGAACCTGTTCGCTTCACGATTGGTGACAAATACATCACATCTGCTGCTAGTTTAGGTATATTACTTTTGTATATCTGTGACACTTTGCTCATAATCAGGTTTTCCTGTATATGTAAGTCCATGCCCTTCTAGAACATTCTGGAAGGCTGCCCTAGTAATTTGTAAAAGTGACTTTATGGACTTGTCCATCACCTACATTTCAATAAAATCATGTTTTGGAAGATCTATCTTCTGGTAAAAAGGGGGAAGGGCAGAAATCCTAGCTGTTGGGCCCCTGGTTGAGCTAGACTCAGACCTGGACCAAGTCCAAGAAACCATTTTACAGATTTTACATGCCATCATCAGAAATCTTTAGACTTCACCTGTGCCAGTAATATTTATCAGAAATGTCAAAAATGTAAGTTTGAACCATTTTGGTTAAATGAATTGATTTCCCAGATGCCACTGATGATGACCTCTTGAGGTTGAAATGCGTATGGCAATAGTGTCTTTTTATAGTGTTAATAGTTGTTTGTTTACTTATTTGATATTGTAACTGTATCAGTTTTTAAATCAATTTATACCTAGCATTTAGTGGAAATTAATATTTATTTATTCCAAGAAATTTCTAACATGCAAGTGGCAGTAGTAGAAGTCCATGAGTTTACAGGGGATATTTTTAGCACTTATTTTGAAATTCTGCTCCAAATGTGGACAGGAAAGAGCAAAAATGTGACAATGCATTGAACATTCTTGAGAGAGAAAAGGGCTGTGTCTCGAGAAGGTTTGCAAAGGATGATTTTCTGGACCCATGTCCATGTGAACATTTTTCATGCTTGATCTTTAAGTTACACTTTGTAAATTAAATACAATTCCCCAAAAATTCATGTATGTTGTATTAGAATTATATCTCTTTTTTTAGGTATTTTCTTTGAACCATTTTAATACTGTCTGGCATTTAAATGTGTCATTCTGTATTACTAAAACAACATTGAAGTATTGGTTTGTTTTTATGCAGGCAATGACAGTTCTTCTGTAGGTGTGGCTGTAGGAATTGTTCTAGCTCTTATCATTGTTGCTGCCATCGTTATCGGTGCCGTTTGGTTTATGCGGACGAGACGCATGTTGGGTCGCAAGTCATCTGGAGGAGTTGCATTTGAGAATCCCAGCTATTTGCGTGAGGTTAACATGGACCATATACAGGCAAGTGGTGAAGTGAAGACAATGGTAATATATTTAGGTGTTTTTTTTAAATAAGTGCATAATGGGGAAGTTATCTTTCTCAGTCTCGGAAACTTCTGAACAGATTTTAACTACATTTTATATACATAGTCCATTAGAAAACTTGTTTAATGTATTTAATCTTGGTGAGGTTCTTGTTTGAATGAGGAATTCAGGATATTCTTGTGATTAATTTAGTTACTTTATTGTACATTCTGGAAGGCTGCCCTAGTAATTTGTAAAAGTGACTTTATGGACTTGTCCATCACCTACATTTGCATTCTGGAAGGCTGCCCTAATAATTTGTAAAAGTGATTTTATGGACTTGTCCATCACCTACATTTCAATAAAATCATGTTTTGGAAGATCTATCTTCTTCCATATTCTGGTAAAAAATGGGGGGGCAGAAATCCTAGCTGTTGGGCCCCTGGTTGAGCTAGACTCAGACCTGGACCAAGTCCAAGAAACCATTTTACAGATTTTACATGCCATCATCAGAAATCTTTAGACTTCACCTGTGCCAGTAATATTTATCAGAAATGGCAAAAATGTAAGTTTGAACCATTTTGGTTAAATGAATTGATTTCCCAGATGCCACTGATGATGACCTCTTGAGGTTGAAATGCGTATGGCAATAGTGTCTTTTTATAGTGTTAATAGTTGTTTGTTTACTTATTTGATATTGTAACTGTATCAGTTTTTAAATCAATTTATACCTAGCATTTAGTGGAAATTAATATTTATTTATTCCAAGAAATTTCTAACATGCAAGTGGCAGTAGTAGAAGTCCATGAGTTTACAGGGGATATTTTTAGCACTTATTTTGAAATTCTGCTCCAAATGTGGACAGGAAAGAGCAAAAATGTGACAATGCATTGAACATTCTTGAGAGAGAAAAGGGCTGTGTCTCGAGAAGGTTTGCAAAGGATGATTTTCTGGACCCATGTCCATGTGAACATTTTTCATGCTTGATCTTTAAGTTACACTTTGTAAATTAAATACAATTCCCCAAAAATTCATGTATGTTGTATTAGAATTATATCTCTTTTTTTAGGTATTTTCTTTGAACCATTTTAATACTGTCTGGCATTTAAATGTGTCATTCTGTATTACTAAAACAACATTGAAGTATTGGTTTGTTTTTATGCAGGCAATGACAGTTCTTCTGTAGGTGTGGCTGTAGGAATTGTTCTAGCTCTTATCATTGTTGCTGCCATCGTTATCGGTGCCGTTTGGTTTATGCGGACGAGACGCATGTTGGGTCGCAAGTCATCTGGAGGAGTTGCATTTGAGAATCCCAGCTATTTGCGTGAGGTTAACATGGACCATATACAGGCAAGTGGTGAAGTGAAGACAATGGTAATATATTTAGGTGTTTTTTTTAAATAAGTGCATAATGGGGAAGTTATCTTTCTCAGTCTCGGAAACTTCTGAACAGATTTTAACTACATTTTATATACATAGTCCATTAGAAAACTTGTTTAATGTATTTAATCTTGGTGAGGTTCTTGTTTGAATGAGGAATTCAGGATATTCTTGTGATTAATTTAGTTACTTTATTGTTTACTTGATGTAAATTAATTTTATGGTCTTAACAGTTTGTCTTGGAAAATTTTTCTATTGATGTCTGTTATCTGGACCGTAATATTTTAGGTACTGGTGCAGTCTCTGTCTTCGTGAAGAAGAAAATAGACTCTTCTCTATGGGGCCTGCTATATAAAATTATTATACATGAATGAAGGATTTGAATCCTCATTCATTGGGGCTATTGGCTGGATTTTAACTCTGGGTTAATTAATTAGCGGTACACTAGTGTGATGTACGGCCACCTGATTCGTGCATGAGCTGCGACACATAGGTGATAGAACTTAACACCAGATTCAGTAACAAAGAACAGCTTTATCTACAACCCCGAACTAATTCTCAATATGATTGTATTTCAGATTCCTGCAAGTCAGAATGACAGTGCAGTGTCCAATGGGACTGCCAATGGTGTGAATCCTGCAGGTAGTCATATGCAGGCTCAGCAGGGCTGGAAGCAAGAGACTCTGCATGTCCCAGCCCAAGCAACAGAAGTTGCTCCATCCTTGTATGAAGAACTGAAGCTCGGTCAGGATGGTGCTGGCTTCAAACGGCTTAAATAGTATCAGGAATTTCGATATGAATCCAGATTCTAAGAAACAGATCTGATGTGATTTTTATAAGTAGTGCAAATGCGATATTAATGGACACAGCTGATAAGTGACTGGAATCGCAGATTGCATTTTATCACATCATTGAATGTGTTTGTTCTTTCTGTCTTTTTAAAGACAGGTGAAGACCTTAAAGCAGCAGTTTCATAATTGTACTGTGTCAAGAATAAAAGTTACAGAGTTGCATCAGTATTTATTGAAATTAATCATTTATCACACAAAATTCTTAAATAATTTTGACTTACAAAGTTATGGCAGAATTTTATGAGTGATAAAAGTTTAACATTTGCCTGTTTTGCAATCCAGGATACACATTCTTAACGACTAAAAATCTGTGCTTGCAGGCGCACAAATATTTCTCAGAATGTGCCACTTTTAGATATGTCTAATCTTTTATTCTGAACACAAAACTTGTATCACTTTTAAAGAACAAACAAGAAAATTGTTTTTATAGATTGAAGATTGTATTAACCTGAGTCCACTATAAGTGGGGACAGTGCACATGGTGCTGTATATGTAAGGAAAAGATGTGAATATAATAAACTGTGTTACAAAGTTATGAGACGCAGGCAAAAAATTGACAAATACATTTGTAGACTGCTTAATTTTGTACAAAAATATATGATGATGTGGACAATGAATCCGTAACACCTCACTCAGTGTGTTTTAGTCAAAGCTTGTACTAAATGTTGATTGCGTGAGGCATTGGATGAGTTGTGTTATAACAGTGGTTGCAGATGTTCACATGTCAAGGCACAGCTGATTTAGCAATAGGTCTAGGTGTTAGCTAACCAAAAAATGTGGTGTTAAAATACCTGTAATTAATTTTATATCTACAGTGCTTCATTATTAATTACTACAAAATTCATTCTTTACACAGGGATGATTTGTGTGGTTGTGATTACAGAATATATGTCGCATGAAGTAAAAGTGTACACAGCTCTGATGAACGACCGTATTGCTGTCACACTACATTTTTATTTGCTTTTAGATAAAGTGCAGTTTTCCAACACTATTTGTAAATAATAAGGAGGTGCATGGAGTGATTGTTTCAATACGGGCCAGACGCAGTACCTCACGTCATAAGGAATGCCTATTCTTTCATTTAGGCATATATTATTTTCTGTCTATATGTTTATATTGTTTTTACATTATATCCACTACATTCCTGTAAGTACCACATAGTATTACGTATAATATATCATTCCATTGGCAATGTTCTTTGTGTACTGTACCACTTTGAAAGTATCGGCCAGAATGACATATCGTTTCCATGCAGAATGTGTGCCTTTCAGATTCATAATAATATTAATAATAACAATATAATAATAATAATAATAATATATAAGAACAAGAATTAAACCTTGTAACTGAGAAATCAGAATTAAGCTTGTTAATTCACCTAAAAATCTTACAGCATACAAAAGACCACTTTAGAAAATTATAGGAAATAACAAAAATAAACATACATTGGGACTCAAAGTAGTTGAAATGTGATTGTCTTGTACATGTGTTTGTATGTTTGGGGAAATTATCTTTTGTACAATATAGATTAATAATAGATTTAAAGAAAAGAGTTGTAAAATTATTGTAAAAGTGTCAAAGTAAATAAAAAATAGTCATTTTTCCCAAGAGATGGAAATTTTCCAAGTGTTTAAAAATGAACTAATGTAAGTATTTGCAGATGTACAGTACAGTATTCATAAATTAAACAAAAATAAAAATTCAATTACTAAGTGTACACACAATGCATACTATGCTGCTAGACTCAACAATGACTTTTCATACACTTTAGTATGTAATGGACAAAATTGCCTATGTTTATATGAACAGTGGTAGTGATTTTAGTGTCTTAATGTCACAATCTTTCATGCTTACAAGTCTTCGCCTTCCTGACAAATATGAGAATCCACTTCTGAGATATGAGAACCAATAAGGCAGGATTCTATTTACGGCCGGTAATAGGGTGATGAAAATGACCGGATAAATGATAACAGCAATTTAGTGCTAAAGTAGGGGGATAATTCTGAATTTTAAATAATGTGGAAGGATGCAGTCTTGGGCAAAGATACTACACCAGCACTTGAAAGGAAATCGACGATAATCATTGGAAAAAGGATTATCGGAGAATCAAATCATCCTCTTTCGAGCACAAAGCACGAGAAAATGCAAATTTTAGTTGAACCCCCTCCCCCCTCTTTCCAAACATTATAACGTTACTTGGTTTAAACTTTTTAAAATATTGTTGACATGGCACCATAGTTAATAGACTAGGTAATTGAAAATTTCCCATCAGATGGCAATGCATATATCATACAAGTTGGTAAACTTACGTATTATAGTCCCTAAAATAGTGGCATTATATTCGGCAGATATAAGCGTGTTGGAGTGTTTGGCATTTCAATGTTGGAATTGTGTAAGGGTTGTATGGTTGGTTATTTGTGGTGGGAATTTTCGGTGTTATTTGTTCTGTAGATTATGTCAGATATTGAAATATTGCAATTGGAGCGGTCTATTCAGAAAGAACTGATAGAAATAAACGTAATTTTAGAAAAAATGTAAGTAATGTAATGGAATTTACTGATAAGTATAATTTCAGTTTAGTAGGTGAATACATTTCAGATCAGTTGTGCTTTCCATTACTCATATCTTGCCTTTCTGTTTTAGTTTCGTGGAACTGGTTGAAATCACAACACTTTCTGACCGTAATGGTAAGCTTGGAAAGTCTATGAAGAAGGTGAGAGAGACAGTGTTAGCTGACAGTAGTAATGATGATGGTTGTAGAAGTAGTAGTAGTAGTAGTAGTATTAGCAGCAGCAACAGCAATATCACTAGTAGCTACTTCATGAAGTTATTGCTGTGTGGCACCATGTTGGTAAATAATAGAAAGTTGAAAGACTCTTGAGTTACATGCCGCGTCAGGTGGCTGAATGGTGAATAAACCTTATCTTCTGCCAACCTCAGAGCCTTTCATTAGTAGAATATTATTCATCAGTTTGGTATTTTTATGTAAAGGAATATATATTCATAACATTGTAACAGATAAGCAATTTGATGTTTCAGTACAGTTTATTTTTGAGAAAAACCCAGAAGAAGAATGGGTGCTTTTGCTACATTAATGATAATAAATGTTCCCATTGACCAGTATGAAATGAAGACAATGCTAGAAGAAGTACTGTATTGGCACTTTTACACATTTAATGTACTAATAATAAGTTATGTGGTTCATTGTCAAATGGTAATTGACATCTTAAACATAGCCACAAAGGATGTAGTTGTTTTCCCACCTGTCTTATCTCACACACATACTAGCAAGTCGGGCATGAAATGTTTTATATGTATGTTATATTAAAGCAGTAGTCTCTATTTTGTTATGTTCTTGTTTCAGGCAAAAGAATCATTTGTGCCTCTTTGTACTGCTCTGGGTATCACTGCTGAGAATTCAGCAAAACAAGGAGAGAATCCTCCAATAAATTAAGAAAACAGGTTAGTAATTTTATGTGCATATCTGGGTTAAAACATACATGTTTTTATATTTTGGACGTTGTAATTAAGAAACTAGCTAGGCCAATGGGATAATTTTTGTAGTTCGTGTGTCATGCCTTCTTTCTTATATTAAATGATTATTTATTCACAGGATACATGCACATTAATATTGTCACTCCAGTTGAATATATTTTGATTTAGTTGTTTACATGACACAGTTCAGAATACTATTTCATGTGAAACTCAAAGTATGAATTCAGCATTTCATCCTTGGTTTATTTAACAGCGCAGCATAGCTTATGGAGCACCAAGTGGCAGAATGATTGTAATTGGCAAACTACTGGCAGTTTTATTGTTGATAACTTACAAAATGTAAAATAACATCAAAGAAATGCAATAATGAAGACAATTAATTTTCCATTTGTAGTTTTAACTTGTACATGGATGATGGAATTAAATAGCTTCTAGGTGCTCTATATGCTATAGTGTAAATATCTTCTGTACTAAATTCTTGGGAATTATGATTGATGGTGCATTAACTTGGAAGAATCATATTGATCTACTCATTAAAAAATTGAGCAAGGCTTGCTATGTAATTGGAAATATGAAACCATATATGTCTACTTCAGTACTAAAGGCAATTTATTATGCTTTTTTCCATTCCTTAATGAGCTATGGTATCAT